GAACTTAATATCAGCTCTTCTAGGAATACATGCATTTTTGAAAGCCATCAGCTTACACCAAAGAAATTAACCATTACTTTCTGATATGAAGAAATACTTTTTTGAAGGTGAAAAGCCTTCCTTCCTCATACCTTCCAGTAATAATAGCATGTGGGTGATTACATATTCCTCTTCCAGCTCCTAGGAAAAGTTTGCCATGGAAAAAGGCAGAGGAAGTAATGATCAAGGGGAAAGAGAAAGATAAAACACTTTGTTTTTATTTTTAAGGGGAAAAACAGGAGAATAGGATAAAACCTTATCTTTTCTGCATCTGTAAATAACCATAATCTGTGAAAATGAAATGTACACTTTAAGCACTTAACCAATATTCACCACTAACAAAAACCTATTTTAGGCCTCATCTTTTGTCAGAACAATCATCACTAATAATATAGAGGAAGTCTGTAGAATGGTCTCCCTCTCCTATACACTTCACTAAGGATCTGAGCATGGAGCTAACGCTGGGCCATGCATTACTCACACATCCCATGTGACCTGTCACGACTTCACAGCACTGCTCATGCTGCTCTTGACCTGAAATTCTCTCCCCTCAGTGCCCTGCCAAATGAACTTCTGTTCACCCAATGAGACCCAGTTTAGATGCGGGCCAACAGGCTTTCTCAGGCAGCTCCTTTACCCCGAGCTGGACCAGTATCTCCCTCCACTGTGTCTCTCTAGTATTAGTAGACACAATTCTGTTTTAGAGCTCATCACCTTGTAGAATTAATATATGTTAATATGTCTCTCTGCTCCAAAGAATGTAACCTACTACAAGTTGGGACCGGGTCTCTCTCTTTCTTTATATTTTCTGTGCCCAATACTATTATGCATATTAAATATAGGATACATGAATATGCTATAGTCTGGACAGTATAAAAAGTTTACAGTTTCATAAAGGAGACAAGGTTTATAGACATAGGAGAGGTATAATGTATTAGGCTAAGAAAATTAGATAATTACCCAATTCAACAAACATTTACTAAACACCTAGGAGTAAAGAATTATTCACTAGGGCTACTACAATAAATACATAGTCACTACCTTGAGGTTGCTCACAACCCAGCCACCTTATAGATTGTCTTTATGTGTATTGTACAGCACTCCTGTGGTTTAGATATCAATTTCCATGTTGTTCCTCATAACAACCCTGCGAGGTAGGTCATTATTTTCATTTTTATAGAGATGTAAACAGAGGGTTTGAATTCCCAAGTCTTCTGACTCCAAGACTGAAGTCTTTCTTTCCCACTACATCAGTGTTTCTCAAAATTTTCCATTTCCGAGTACATTTTTACAGGGAGAATGGACTTATATTCCTCAGGGTTGGGAAATAAAAGCTCAAAAAAAAAAAAATCTAGAGTGTAATCTTAAAATTCATGCTTACTATGATATTTTTCCATTATTTCTCACTGAGTCAAACTGAAGGTCCGAGAAAAATAAACCTCGTTGATTCTGGGTCCTTGAAGGACCTTCGAACAGGGTTTCAACACCAGAGGGAAGCACATACAATTTCAGAAGCACATGGCTACGCTGCTACCTTTACTCAGGGCGTTTAGGTTTGGCTGAGACCCAACACAAGATTTAAGGTAACTTCATCATGTCTTTTTTTGTTTGTTTGTTTTAGGTTCCCAGTGGCATAATTGTATTTGCAGCCATCTCTGTAGACTATAACAGCACGTACATTCTGCTCCCAGGTACTGAGCAGTGGGGTTTGGCCCTTTCCTCCCTGCAAGCGTTCTCATTCTGGCAATAAGATCTCTTCGGTCCAAACTAACTGCCACCCCTCTCATTGCCAATGGAACCTAAAGAAGTCCCAGATGTCTCCTACTATCTGCTGCTGGCCCCTGAAGGCCCCCAAAGCTAAACCATCTCCTCTCTTCAGCACTGCCGCTAGAGGGCAGCTCAGGGTTGCAGCTGTGCCGGGCCCTCTAGTGGCTGCTGGGGTGACATGGTTCTTCTATGGAACCCATAAAAAACTCAAAAAGTTGTACTCAGGAAGCCAGCTTAAGTGACACCCGGTAGTGAATTTTTTTTTTTAAAAGTTCGCTTTTTTAAGGCCTTTGGTAGGTCTCCGATACATTACCTTTCGTGGATGAATCTCCCACTGCCTAGGATTCCCCCCTTCCCAGGGTATGGCAATGGAGAGCCGTCCTTCTCTCCGGGTCAGGTAAAAAAAAAAAAAAAAAAAAAAGAAGCTGGAAGACTTGGCAACTTCCCCCGGTGCCTTTGTACTTCCTTCATCTCCCCCACGAATACAGAGCTTAGACATACATTCAAGGTTTTTTCAGTATAACTATGGCTTGCAGGTTCTGGAATTAGACTTCCAGGCTTCAACGCCTGGCTCTTTCGTTTACTAATTGGGTAACTTTAATAATGCTATTTAACCTAAGCTTCCGTAAAAAATGGAGACTATCGTGGTATCTGCAATATACAGTTTGGGGAGGAGTAATTTTGATAATGTATGAGAAGTGCTAGGTCTGGCACCCTGAAAGTGCTCAACATTAGCTATTTTTAGTCTTCAAAGCTTCTGTCTGGTGCACAGCAGGTCTATCAATGTGGTACAGGAAAATACTGTCTTTACCTAGGACTCCGGGCACATATGCAAATGAATTCATAAACAACTTTCATTTTCCTAAAGTGGCCATGCTAACAGGTTAATGGAAAAGGGGGGGCCTGCTCGTGTGAAACAATCAGTGCAAAGGGTATTCAAGGTACAAAGGAATCCAAGAGGGAGGCCTGGACTCTGCATAGAGGAGCTGTGTTTTGTACACAGATGTCCTTCCCCCTACCCCCATCCCTTTCCTTCGCCCCCCCCCCCCACCTCCACCATGTGCAAGCATTCAGGGTGAATCTGGGAGTGGCGTCTAAGTGCACAGTGGTGCAAAAGTAAGAGGGTTTCCGGCCAAGGAAGTGAGCTGAGCTCTCTCCAAAGGCCAGGAACCCAAGCCAATCAGATTCCCCGCCCACCAGGAGTCTAAAAGGTGGCAGAGCCTCATGGCCCAAAGTCCAAGCACAGCAGGAAAGTGGCCAGGGAACCTTTGTCAGGTAGAGAGACCTGATTAGGCACTGTCAAAAAAAAAAAAAAAAAAAAAAAAGTTAAAAGCTGAAAAGCTCCTAACACCCACGGGCCCAGAGAGAAAGGTCAGTGAGAGCTTAGCAGCTGTTCCATCTGGTGCCAGGGGCCTTGGCTGTTGTCTTCCACCCCGGGCCAGGCAGGCCTCCCTGATGAGCCCCACCTAGAAAAGCCAATTCTGCTCTTAAAGGGGACTTGCTTGTTTCCGGTGGGGAATCTTCCTCTGGGTGGGCAAAGCTCTCTCTTACCTATGAATGGGGAGAGGAGAGGGAAAGGGGCAGAGAGTGCAACCAGGGGGGTGGGGGTGGGGTCCCACTGGCTCCAAAGGAAGGGGCGTGTGGCCTGGAGCCTGAGCCTCCCTCCATGTTGAGAGAACCACCACATGCATGTATGTCAGAGGCAGGCGGGGGCCTGGGCTGCCAGGGACCCTGACAAGCCGCGACTTGAGCTGTGTGCCTGGGAGCCTGGGCTGGCTTGAGGAGGGCGGGCCATGCCGGGAAGGGGGTGAGGCGGGCGGCGAGGGGAACAGCATGGGCGAAGGCGCGAGGGAAGGAAGAATGGATGTGCTGCGCGTGGAGGACGGCATGGAGACTCCCCTGATTGGCGCGGGGAGCGCGTGCGGGGGGGATGGCGGCCGCGGTGATTGGGCGGCCGGAGTGGAGCCAGGTTTGGAGGCTCCGCATGCCCGGCCGAATGGGGAGCACGCAGCCCGGCTCCCCGCGGGCGGCTCCCGGCCCGGATCGAGTCCCCTCTAAGGTGGTTATTCATCCCCACGGGGGCTTTTTTTTTTTGGGGGGGGGGGGGCTCCTGGGAAGCCCGCTCATCACCTGCTCCAGGCCCCCCTCCATGTGCCCAGGGGGAGAGCCACCCTCCCCGGTGCAGGGGAGGGGAGGAGGGGTCATGTTGGTCAATTTGACTTTCCTTGCTTTGAAGATGGGGGGAGAGAAATGCCATTTCCAAGCCAAATATTAAATGTGGTTCCTCCTCCTCCTCCTCCCCCGCGGGTCCTCTTTCCCTCGCCGGCACCTCCCCCACGCTTCCCGGCTCCCCTCCGCCCGCGCGGCCAGCGGCCTCCTCCCCGCCCGGCGGCGGCGCGTCCCGGGCCCGCCTGGCCCGCGCCGCCCCCCGCGCCCGGGCGCCCCCTCCCCGCGCCCCCTCGCCGCGCCGGTCGCCCCCGCGCCCCGGGCCCGCCCCCCGCCCCCCGCCCCCCGCCGGCGGCCGCGCGGCCGGTGCGGTGCCGCCTGCGCCGGGCCGCAGTGCGGCTGCGCGCACGGGCTGCCTCCGGGCTGGCAGCGCAGCGGCGGCCGCGCGGCGGCGGCGGGGCCGGGAGCGAGCGGCGGCGGCGGCGGCGGCGGCTCGGGGAGCGGCGCGGAGCGGAGGAGCCCGGGGCTGCAGCCGCGCGGGGCTCCCGGAGGAGCGAGCCCCCGGGGCCGGCGAGGAAGCCCAGGCCGGGGAGTCCCCGAGCAGCCATTCTCCTTGGATTTGGGGGTGCGGGCACGGCTCGTCGTCTGACGCCCCCTCCTCACCGCCACTGCCACCCCCAGCCGCGGCCGCTGACGAGAGGGGGCGGCGGCGGGGGGCTGCGGGCGCCGCCATGCCTCTCCCGCGGTGAAGCGCCCCGGCCGGCTGGAGCGCCTCGGTCTCCCCGGTGATGTCCCCCAGGCGGCAGGCAAAGGCGACTCACTCGAGCCCTGGGGTAAAGGCCTAGCTTATCCAGCTTCCTTCCTCCTCCTCCTCCTCCTCCTCCTCCTGGTCCCCTCCCTCCCTCCCTCCTCCTCCTCCTCCTCCTCCTCCTTCTCCTCCTCGCCCCCTTCGACCTCCCTCCCCGCCTCTCCCCTCACCCTGCCCCGCGCCCCCATCTCCCCTGCTCCCTCCCAGCCCTCCAGCCGCGATGGCAGAGGAACAACAACAGCCGCCGCCACCGCTGCCCGATGCCCAGCAGCAGCAGCAGCAGCAGCAGCAGCAGCAGCAGCTCCCCCCCGGCACCCCCGGCCCCGGGGTGGCCCTGCCAGCCCTTGTGCCCGGGCTGCCAGGGACAGAGGCCAGCGCGCTGCAACACGAGATCAAGAACTCCATCTGGTAAGAGGATCCACCATCGCGGGGCGGAACAGCCCGGGCGCATTTCTGCTGCTGCAAAGGGGGTGGGGGCGGCGGGCAGGGGCAGGAGCGGCGATGCATCCATTGAACGTGGGCATCCAGGGTCGGGTGCATGTCTGTGGGGCCCCGGGAGGTGTGGGAACCGTGCTTCGGCCCTGGGGCTCCGTACATCCCTCCCCATGGTGAGGGGTGATAAACACATTATTTGTGGTTTTCACTGGTGTGCAGAAGGAAGGAATATGGGTCGACGTTCAGTCATCTTGCAGGGTGATGGCATGGGTTTGGGGCTGAGGAATGTGAAATGTGTTTACTCCCGGTTGCATGCAGTCACACACAGGGAGGAAGAAGTGTATTGTTGAATTTCCACCAAACAGACATTGCGCGTAAGAATATTAATAGGCGGCACACAAAACCTGATGTGTGTGTGTCTCTTCCTTTCGGTTGGCTTAGCTGCTGTTGCTGAATGTTTTTTGCTGTTGCTTTATTTAGAGATTACATTTCCCTTCCAAGGAGTTTATTCTTTTCATTGATTGTGAAGAAAAGGCTTCTTTAGTATAGGGTGTTTTTTTTTTGTTTTTGTTTTTTAAGGTGATGGTTTACACTGTAAAGTGATTTTTTTAAATTTAAAAATATATCTTTAAAATAAATGTTTTACCATTTTGTGTGTCTTTTTTAGAAACCACAGGTAAAATGCCCTTTGCAATATTCCTGTACTTTTTTTTTTATATGAGAATTTCCAATATTTCCGCATTAGATTAAACTCTGAAAGACTGGTGCCAGCCTTTTAATAATTAAGTACACCGAGTTAAAGTCTATCCTTTTTAGAGCCATTGCAAATATTCTTTGAACATGAACTTGCATTTTTAAAAACTGACATTTTTTTTAAGTGCAGTGCTATTTTAAAAATGGAAAGCAGTATTTGGAATTTGGTGTAAGAGACTACTTTTAATAGAACTTTTAAAATAGAATTAAATGTGGTATAAAAAAGCTCTGATTTTAAAAATGAAATCTTGCATGTCCATCATTGAATATGACTACTAGATCAAAACTCCTTTTATATTGCAATTTAAAAAGAAATGTATTATAAGATAACGGACATTGCAGTACAATATTTACACATTTGAAAACTGACAATTTCTAAAATACAAAATTAAGGTTTGTTATATAGCAATTTTTATTATTTTCCTGGTGTACATCCATATTGTCATGATGCTAATATGAAGTAGGTCAGTGCAGGCTTTAATAGTCTTATTCTAGAGTAGTGGGAAGCTGTGTACCTTGCTTTCAGTTTTAATTTTAAAATGAAGTTTAAATGCTTTAAAGGTAATTTTTTTTTTTTTTTTTTTTTTTTTTTTTACTTTGACAATAGTCATGTTGTGGCAACTTGAATAGGTCAGAAAAATAGTAATGTGTGTGTGTACTAGATGTGTGTGTGTGTGTGTGTGTGTGTGTGTGTGAGAGAGAGAGAGAGAGAGTGTGTGTGTGTGTGTGTGTGTGAGAGAGAGAGAGAGAGAGAGAGAGAGAGAGAGAGAGAGAGAGAGAGAGAAAGAGAAAGAGAGAGAGAAAGAGAGTGTGTGTGTGAGAGAGAGAGAGGGAGAGAGAAAGAGAGAGAGAGAGTGTGTGTGTGTGTGTGTGTGTGTGTGTGAGAGAGAGAGAGAGAAAGAGAGAGAGAGAGAGAGAGAGAGAGAGAGAGAGAGAGAAGGCTTTATTCTTCAATGGATACACTCAGCTCCCTATTCAAGCTGTAATTTAAAGGAAGAGATGGTTAATCTTCTGCTCACCAGAAACCAGAGTGCCCCCATCTACCCCCCAGCAAGTTACTTGATGTAACTTAAGTGTCCCTGAAATCATCACTAAATTGAATAAGCACTTTGGTTTTTTCATTCAGATAAGGGGCACCCAAATTAAAAAGACTAAAATCTTTTAAGAAAGACATATTTTAAAAGTTGAACTAGTAATGTATATTTTGACTTATTATGAGAGCAATAGGGGAAAAGGAATGATCGTTTTATAGTATTTTAAAAATAAGAGTAAGTTGTATAGATAACTGAAGTGTTTGAATAAGAATGATAGTGGAGACTCTTTCTGGTGAATCATGTGATTTAATAATTCTTTCATTGATAATTTATGTTTACACATCCATTACAATTTAACTGCACTGACTTTAATGTGAGAAATCCTGTCCTGAAGCATAGTGCACTTGAGTTTTTGGTACTTGCTCTGGAAAAATAATGGCCAGCAAACACTTTAATTTTCAAATGTACAATTTTAATCTTTATTTTAAAATTATAATGGCACACTTACTGGCATTTAATGTTCATCTTTAGAAGTCCCATTTGCAAAAAATGGTTTCTTTATATTATATTTAAAACTTTGTAAAAATAGTGATCATAAACAACATTAGGAAATATATGTAACGTATAGTCTCATATCTAATGTTTCACAAGACTGGATTTATAGATTTATCAGGTAACTATATAAAGACATTTAAAAGTGAAATACCTTCAATACCATCTATGAAATATGGTGTCCTAAGAAAAGTATATGAACTTTAATAGCTGACAACTCGATTTTGAAAATGAAATTTCCTTTAAAAAACACTTCCATAATTATTCAAAGTGTATGTATAAGGTTTTTTTGGGGATACTATATAAATATAAATATATATATATATATATATATATATATGTGTGTGTGTGTGTGTGTGTGTGTGTGTGTTAAATTAAAATCTCTTTTAATAGATTACAATTCTTTAGGTATCTCATTTTACATTTCTTGAAGTAACAATGCCTTCTTACCAATTTTTTTTTTAATCACCTGATAATATTATGAGAGATTATCCGTTTTGTTGCTTCCTATATCAATCTGTGGTAACATTACTAATGACAATTTAAAATTACATTAAGCAGAAATTGTTAAATGAGTTTTGCATTTAGGTTGATTCTAGAGTATATTGGACTTGCAGGTCACAAACATGTCTATACTTGTTCTCCTATTCTGCAAATGTAAATATAGTAGGCGATGTAAGCCGTTAGCTGGACAATAGAGTTATTTATTATCTCAGTTCATAATTATTTGTTCTTGTTTGTTAAACTAAAGTGCTGTTCGACAAAAATATGTCCATGATCATTTCAAGCATCAAATTAGTCTTTGAAAAAGATTAAGTATTCAAAGTTGAAATGATGGTAGTTAATCGGATCAGAAATTATACTTCTTAAGAATTGGAAATAGGTATTTTAAAGATAGTTCTAGAAAATAAAGCTACTACTAACTTGATAGTGGTGTTATATTTAATATATTTATGGCTAGCTTCAAATGAAGTCCAAGCCTGCATGTACCTTTCTTGACCTTCGTCATACCTAATCCATCCATAGATTCCAGCTCACTTGTACTGCTTGCTTGAAAGGGGATTTATTTGCATAGTTGTGTTTAATATTGAATGTAGTATAAGAAATGTCACGTATATTTTCTAGGCAATAGAATTATAATATAAACTTTTCATAAAAAAAGAAAACTAGTAACCTGTGTCCTTTTCATAAATGCATATTCATAGTGACAATCTAAAACAAAACCACAACCTAATCCCATTGCAAACTTTTTAAAATATATATATATTTTATTGTTATTTTACAGAGAGGAAGAGAGAGGGATAGTTCGAAACATCAATGAGAGAGAATCATCGATCAGCTGCCTCTTGCACACCCCCTACTGGGTATGTGCCCGCAACCAAGATACATGCCCTTGACCGGAATCGAACCTGGGACCTTTCAGTCCATAGGCTGACGCTCTATTCACTGAGCCAAACCAGTTTCGGCCCATTGCAAACTTCTTGAACTTACATTGCACTCCTCTTTAGTTGCTTCTAAAGAAAAAGAATACCACGGCAAGTTTTTCTTTCCTTTTATCTCCCAAGTATCTTAATAGGTGTTGTTTTTCTATTTAGCTTAAACAAACAAATAAAAATTTACTAAGTGTTCTTTGTGTTTTTGAAGCGGTTTTACTCGAAACCCTGATAGAATAAAATTTCTGTGGAAAAAATGGAATAGAAAAACTTACATTTGCATTCTATTTTGCGTGTTATTATTCTTAAGAATAATCATACTTGCATGGGTAGGAGCGATTAACATATTTGCAGTTAGACTATAGTGTGTAGACTACAAACCTTTGCCTAGAAATTCAGAAGAATCCCTGATGTTTTATTGTAGATAATGTTCTAATACTGTATTTACTCAATAAATAAATTCAGGGATTCTTTTATATAATATATATATTTTATTAATCTTTTACAGAAAGGAAGAGAGAGGGATAGAGAGTTAGAAACATCGATGTGAGAGAATCATCGATCATTCGCCTCCTGCACACCCCATCCTGGGGATGTGCCCCCAACCAAGGAACATGCCCTTGACCGGAATCGAATCTGGGACCCTTCAGTCCACAGGGCGATGCTCCATCCCCTGAGCCAAACTGGTTTTGGCAAATTCAGGGAATCTTAAAAGAATTAGTGGTTATTAATTATTGTTTTTATTTATGTAACTTTATTTTCAAGAAAGGCCTTGTAAACCATTTCTTAAAACAGTCTTAGAAGTTGTGTCATTGTTCTACCCACTTAGTAAGAGTGAAATTGGATGACAAGTAAAATTCCTCTGATTCATTGTCAGACCTGGAAACAGTGCGGGGACCAGAGTTCCTTGTCTATTCAGTCTAAGTCATATAGATTTCTGAATCTGGCACATTTTCAATTCACAACTATAATCAAAGCAGAATTACATACATATGTGGGCCATTTGGGATGTTATCTAAATTCTAATTTAATCCCAAATTGAGCAATTTTGTTTAACTTTATTTCTCAGTTACAGTGAGCAAAGTATGGTGATCCTAAGATTTGCATAGTGATTCCATATTAGTCCTAAGTTCTGTCCCCTGTCCTAGAAGTTAGGTTTTGTCCTTGGCTCTGGGTCAGGCAGCTTATTAACTCTGTCTGAGAAA